GAAGGGCTATTCACTTAAGAGTCATCCTGAGTTTAATGTTAAATTCTGAAAGTGTTTTTCCACCTCACACTTTTTATGTTCCTAATATCCAAATCATACACATTTAAAACGGGAGCACCACACTATCCTGGCATCTAGTTCTTCAGGATTTCCTGTCATGGAATTTCTTGCAATTTTGCCTGTAGTATTTAGTACTCACTACTGTCCAGAACAGCTTATTGAAATGAATAGGTCTCTGGTCCAAACTAGTAAATCATGTTTCATTCATTTTTTTCTCTCTCTCAAGGAATTACAGAACAAAGATATCCACAGACTTCTTTCACCATCTCATCTTTACACAAACTGAGTAGTCAGCTCTACTTCAGGAGTAATTCACAAAATAATTTCATGTTGAAAAGTTACACATTAAATTTTATTTCTCCAGATTCTCCTAAAATATAATACTAATTGCATAATATTTTAATTTAGCAAGCTTATTCAGCATGCTTGTAAAATAAATTGTGATGTACAGATACATGTACCATTTTAACTGCTAAAAGGAAGCATAAACAACCAAGAATATGACTAGCAAATTAATTACATAATAAAAATAAGTAATAAGAGCATGAACCGGTTCTCCTTTATTATAAAACCTTTAATCACAAATCAGCACTAAAGGGAGAGTATACTGAAGCATACATTTCTGAACTCACCCCAGTTCTATAAATTACTTATTTTTAACTGAGTTGTTTACACTTGACCTCTGTATCTTCTCCATTTTTATTTCCTTCTGGATTCTTCCTTTGACTTTTTTTTCTTTTTTAGACTCCACCTCTTCATTTTCTCTCAAAAAACACAGCGTACTCTCTCGGACATTATGTTTGTTCCACCTCTCTTGGATTTTTGCATCCAAGATGCAAATATGACCTCAAGCCCTTAAACAATAGCTTCACAGAGCCCATCCGTTCAGAAATGGTCACTTCAAAGGAAGACCTTGAGCTGTCAAATATTCTGCCCCTGTCAAACTTCCTATAGCCAAAGCGCTGTATTACTATTGCTATTCCTGATCAGATCATACTAGCTACTTTTTCTGCGTTAATCACTGTACAGAAGACAATCATCCTCCCTGTTCTAGGCCACTAAAGCTAGATTCTTTCTGATTCTTGCCTCCGGAGAACATTTTAAGTCAGGCACTTCTGCATATCACCCCTGAGATTCCAACTTCTTTGACCACACTGTTAAAAGCCATTCCCTGATCGTTTCTTGCTTTCAATACTGCAGTCTCTTCCTCACCACACAGTGGTTTTTGTCTCTTTTTTTTTGGTGGTTTTGTGTGGGGTTTGTTGAGCTGGGTTTTTTTGTTAAGTAATTACGCAAGTGCACGCAAAAAAAACTCAAACAAAATATCAAGATATGAAGTGATCTATCCAAAGATCCCACGCAAAGCTGTAAATTCATGCCATTAGCTTTGTCTGACATTAGACACACAGTAAGATATTAATATTTCAAAAACATCAATTTATTCTATTTCTGTGGAGAGATTCCTTGAGGAAATGACTTAATGTAGGATCTACATATAGAGGTTCTTTGGAAACAGGAAAAACCTATGTAAATAGTGAACATATGATAAGTCTGTCTTACTGCTTGTGCCTCTTCATCATTAAAACGAATCACGTACATGTGGTGCAACAGATGCTTCCTGAGGCAGATAGCCTCCCACAACACATGACTAAAACCTCAGTTAGTAATATGTTCTCCCCTTCACCTACCCTTTTACAGCCTACCTCTTTAAACCAGTTTAAAGAATTGTAATCTTTTGTATGTTAATAATAAAGTAACAATAGCAGGAGCTAGATTTGATAGAGAAATTCATATTAGCCTGCCATAATGGTAAGTATAGTCTTTTTCCACATCCTTCCTTTTTTCTCTTCTCTGCTGTACCATACACTCTGGTTTTCACACTGTGATAGCCTACTTTACAGAAATTAGTAACTGCACAGTAAAGCACACTCTGAATCCTGAATGCAAAAAAAATTCAAACATATGAGTAGCTATGACAAAAGCTCTTTTTTCAAGTATTTTGTAATAACTAGAATTAGAAAAGTATATTCCTCCAAATTTAAAAGTTCAAGTTCTTTCATCTTCGTAAATCTCTTAAGTTATACCATCTAGTCTAACCTAGGTAACAGACCAAAGAATAAGCAAAAAAAAAAAAACCCCCAAAAAAAACCAGTCCGTGCTCAAACTAGAGTCCCTCTATCTTCCTTAGAAGACTTCAACAAATCCTTCGTGTGTTTCAATGACTAATAAATCCCGTGCTAAAAATTTAGACCATGTTTCCCCACATCAATTTCATCAGGTTCAAATACAAGCTTCTTTCCAGTCCACACAAGGTAGATCCAAAAGACTTCCAGTATCAGACAATTTTTGAGGAAATAAAAAGTTTCTTCTAAAAGTTCCAGTTTTCTTACATCCTCTACAGAATGATTTTATGTCAGTCTTCACTTCACAGAGGAAAAACAAAACTACAGCATAAAACAGGGCATGAGGAACATGAGGAAAAATAATAGACGGTGTGCAGATGAAGTGTCTGGAATCACTGTTGGGAGTTCTCAACTGGATTAGCAAATTAAAACAGTTAAATAGTTCAACATCTTTAGCTCTTGTTACCTTCCCCTCTCAAAATAACTTATTTACAAGATCTTCCTTCCTTGGTGTAAATATACACTTGTAATTTGTAACACTGTTTTAGTGCTCGTAAAACAGCAGAAAGTTATTGTGCATTGTCACATTCTTCCTGCCAAATAAAAAGCCAATGAGTATCTAATCAACATATTCAATATACTGCTCTTCCAGGAGTCTTGCAAGCAAAAACCACGCAGCATGAAGTGGGAAATCCACTACCCTGCTGTTGAGTAAAATCCCTGTATTTCATGTAAGCTTTACTTGTAATAAAGTTGGGGGGTTTTTAATTATCAGTCCTCATTCTTAATCAAAACAAGCAGCATTACCTACTGTGACAGAAAAAACCCATAAATCTGGTTTTGAAATAGTGTATATTAGGACATATTTAGTATATATTCAGACCTACCATAATCAGGTAACTACGTAACTGTGGTTAAAATGTCAGATCTTTTAAGATTATGGTAAAGATCCAGTAAGAGCGCTACAACAAGAACATATAGATTACTAGTTGAACTTGCAATTAAATTGCATTTCTCATTAATTTCAGGTTTGCCTTTAATGTCTTAGAAGAAAGCACTCTGTGAATACATATTCACCACTGATTTGTATGGAAACTATACATACAAAAAAGCTTATTTAGGATTTTTTTTATGAAGTATTTCTTCAATAACTAAAAATGAGCTAGCAGAAGAAAGGGCTACATTTCAGTCATTTTATGCACAGTAAGTAGTTTGAATATATAGTTTCACTAATCTCTCATTACCCCAGCTATAACAGCACCCCTCATGAACTGTTCCAATTTCAATCATTTTAACAGGTTTTAAGAGTAGCTTCTGTCGCTTGGATTTATCGCGACATTCCCCTGGGACAGGAAGAAACTTAAGGTCAGATATAAAGATGGTCCACTGGAAACCAAGACAGATCTTTTAAATGCTAATAAAAAGTTTCCAATGTATAAATATTTCAGTATTTTCTTTTAACTTTCTTAACTTTCATCTATAAGAAATGCAGCAGAAGTCAAGAGAATCACACAATGCTGAAGCTCATCAGAAAGCTCACACTCCATCACTAATGTTTCAGTTTGCAGACTGGATTGTGCCTCTCCCAAACATTAATGACAATAACCAAACATTCTGCGAGAACAGAGCTAGACTATTTCCAGTGCCTGAACTACCTCACTGTGACAGTCCCTAAGGTACAGAGCAGATTTTTTCCTCCAAAGTTAAAAAGTACGTTATTTTATTCTGGATCATTCTCTCCACTGTACTGTATTCCTTCAGAAAACTCGTATCAACCAAGCATCAATCACTGTTGATGCTGTTTGTATATAATCACACAGAAAAGTAAGTAGCATCACATTAAACTTGACAACGATAATTCACGACTAAACTCATTCAGGGGTAACAATCTTCCTTGAGATGTTACAAAAAGAGAAACCAGGGCTAGATTCTTCTCCCACTCACCTCCAGTGAGAATAGGCTTCAGAACCATATGGCAATACCCTCATTTTTAGGGGACGAGGAGATAAGGGGACATCTTCACTCCCCTTCCTTTCTCAAGCCTGTACCTGACAACTGCCAGAAAGCAGAAGCAAGAACAATGAAACTACATGGATATTTCCATTCCTACCCAGTAATTTTGAGAATCCCGATGGTAAAGTTGAGTAAGTGCAAGGGCAAGTCCTTTGTCAGGACCAAGTGCAAAGGCAAGTCCTTTGTCAATTTGGTTTGCCTACCAAACTCATTCGAGCACCATCACAAAAAACTTCAGGCAGGTCTGAATAACCTTCCTTAGTTCATAGGACTTAACCTACCATTAACCTACAGCAGGAGGTGCTTACTACTTGCCTGTAAAATGTAAGCAAAAACACATAAGAAAGCTTTCTAGACTGCTGTCTGTAACAGGTATTGTTTTGCACCATGAAGTACCTGGAACAGATCTAAGGTAAACAGGAAAGCCTAGTGATGACTTAAGCAAGAAAACCTTAGAGCAAAGAAACTAAAATACCAGGTGGCAGATCACATCAACTCTTAGTTACCTCATTGCAAGCTAAACCAACACCATTTGCCTACCTCTTACACTGATCACAAAAATAACAACTTTTATACATAGTCACATAAAACTTTCCTTTAGGCTAGAACAATGGACAATAATATTCCATTTCAGACAATTCTAGAAATTAGACTTTCCTTCCACATTCGGCTGTGGGAAGGGCTGAATTAAGAAAAACAGCAACAACTACTCAAGTACTGGAACATAAAGAGCAGCTATACAAAACAGGAGGAAAAAAAAAGACAGACCTCATGTATGCACAAGTGAAGGCTTTTTACTCCTACCTCATCACTTTCCTCTACTTCAATACCACCATCTTTGTCATCATCCATTTGCTTATGGATCATGCGGAGAGCTTCTAGGCTGAATCGGTCCTCCTCAGTAAAGCACGGTGGGCTGAGTGAACTGCAGGGATCTAAAGGGGGCAGGGGGGAAACAAAACAGAAATATTAGCTGCTGTCACTCTAGAACACGAAGCTCCCAAGCAAGAGAAAGGGCTTAAATTTCTGTATGTGTACATGTACTTCACTGTACATAGCCACCAGGTCATAGATGTCAAATTTAGCTGTAAAATAATAATTCTTACCAAAACAGTGAATGGGGGGGGCAGGGATCAACCCTTTTTTTTATCCAGGAAGGAAGCCCAAAGAATAGGCTGGAATAGTTTGATGCTTGGATTTTTTTTTTTTCCCAGCCCTGTAACTGCTATCTCCACCTCTTCTTCTATCTGTCATCCACCCTTAGTAATACATCACTGCAATAGCAAATAAAGTCACTGCGTTTTCCAACCTCCTTTCTGAAAGCCTGGGCTAAACAGAGAGCAGCGGAGGAAGCGAAAAAGAATTGTCATGTCCTGTAATTATAGCTTCATAAACAGGTAACAAAGGGATGGTAACCACACTGCAGATCAAATTCAAAGTAGATAGTACTACTGAGTGCAAAATATTCAAGGAGGACTGCAAGAGAAGAAAGCACACCACAAAGAAAATTCAACCGATAACAATACATGATACCGCAGTCCTGTATGCTCTGATCAAAAACAGCAGTCACTGTGGAGCAGAACTGCAGGTCAAAAATAGTACATTTTCTTTTGCATTCATTACTGAAGGCTCATGATTTGTGCGCATCTGATGGCTCTGCTTCCACCATGTCAGATTGTTATATCTCTGTTCTTTGCCTTCCACAAGGCACACGCCAAATGCTCCAAAATTCTACAATGCATGATGATCAACCATCATTAAAGACTGGTCTTTCACTTGGCATTAACTAATACCTAGCTATTTCATTAATTCTGATGTACCAAATACCATCAAAGAACAGAAGGTGGAGAAGGATACAGAAACCATTTTTTGAAAGTTCAGCTTTAAGAAGATAGTGAATTCCCACTGTAATAGCCATTATAAAAATGCACTGATTAGTCCTATGAATTGGTACACTCCACTTTAATCATATCAATGCAAACAGAAATTGAGGCAGCACATGAGTAATTTTTGCTTCTTCTAGTCTATCAAAGGATTAAGCTTTCATGTTACTACAGAATTTATTAAAGGCTCATTTATATAAGTAATGAATGGATAGGATCAAGAGTTTGCATAGAAAAATAAATTTATTGTGTTAGTATTTCCAAACCAATTGAGTTGGCATGACTCTGCTTTTCTGTCTTTATTATAAATTTAAAAATAATCAAAAATAATGGATGCTGATAAGACTCCGCTTGCACAAGGCTACAAAGCAGAAATACCAAGGTAGCAACCATGGCATAGCTAGAATCTCAGACGCATAGTAACAGGACTGATCCCTATAGCTAGACATGAGTCAATGCATTCTTACTTTATACACCAGCTTTATTATACAGAAGTTAACATTTATCTGTTATCTGTGCCCACATATGAATTAAAAAAAAAAAAAACCACCAAAAAAACCCACCACAAAAAAACCAAACAACTCACTGACACTGCCCCAGAATAGAGAGATGCTGGGTTTAGAACTACTTCGTATAAATCAGAAAGACAAATTACTAAACATTAAACCAGGCCAACCACTGTTGCTTTGGAATGCAACAACTACTTCTTGAAAAAAGTGAAACTGAGTTATTTCTTTTACTGGAAAAAAAAAAAAAATCTATTTTATTTGTCCACCTTTGTTTCATTAGAAAAGGTTTAATTTGCACAATATACAACCTTTACACTTTTGCCTTGCAATGAAAAAATTACTATCATTGGGGGGTTTAAGGACTTATCCCTACAATACAGAGTGCTTGGTGTAAAAAGGCTTCCCTTGCAATAGTAACGAATCACCTCAAAGTTCTGCTAATAATTAAATTCCAACAGCCACAAACAAAGAAAGAATATGACACTACTTAAAATCATCTTTGTATTGCAAGATTAGATCTATACTATGTTTTAAGTTAGAAGAAAGCATAATTGTCGGAACAGATAAACAGGTCCCTCAAACATACCCAACTTGTTTAATTTGTAATTAGTTCTATTCTTACACAGAAGAAAATGTCAGATAAATAGTGTTCACAGTTTGCGAGCACCCACTCAAACACTTTTCCATTTTGTTCAGCTGAAAGCCCAGCTTTTCAAATCACAAAGGTTTTCTCACAGTACATTTTCTCAACACTGAGGTTAATCAGTTTCTTAATCAGAGTACTTATTTATCTCAAATATGCCTTTTTTGGTTATTTAAGCATGAAGGCACTTCAAAGAGCTATGGCTCTTCTTGAGAGAAGTAAACAGGCTGCTTGTGCTTCAAATGTCCCATGTGCTGGCTCCAGGAACACTTGATCTTTCTCTTAAGAGACGATAGAGTTCCAATTGCTCCTTTTGGGACTAAGAAACATGGAGTAGGACCACATCGACTGTAATAAATATTAACCCACTCTAAACAGAATCCAGATTTACCTTCAAGCTTATTTACAAATGGTAAAATTAAACATTCCCAGACTGACAACACTTGTCATCCCCCTCTTCAGAAAACAATCTCAAAACAAAAAACAAATTACAAAGCCACAACCTAAAGAATAAGCAAAAAGCATTTCACAAGCATACCTATGAAGCCCTACCAAATCCAAAAAACAGCTGATGGAAATTTAATCATCTGCAGCTCTGCAGAAGATTCTAAAATGCAGTATTTTGCCTCACTTGCACGGCAGAAACAATTCAAATTAATACTAGATGAAGTACAGTTAGAAACTTCTCAAACATCCACTTAATTAAGATAAAAGCCAAGTGGAAAAGTCTCAAGATACAGCAAGCACCGTAAATATAGGCCTGAGGGCCCGCAACAAATTATAAGACTAGTTGATAACCTATTTTTCACTTTGAATCCACCCTGTTGAAGGTGTTCTGGGATTCCAAACCTTCTATTGTACTTTAAGGACAAACCTAATTTCATGTCTGGACCAATTTGTCTGTCCTAGTCTGGTGTGTTGTCATAAATACACTTAGCCCAAAATCATCATCACAGGAAAGAGCACAGAGACAATACCAAGAAATTGACTCAGGGAGTGAATCTGATAGCTTAGAATTTGACCCTTCCTTTAACAAACAGCACAGAATAATTAGCAAACAAGAGAGATACACTTTAGATGAGGTGGACAAGAGGCATACAAGCACACCATACGTCACTCTAGGCAGGAGTTATTTTACAGACCAGTTTTTAATTTTGCTCAGAAGTGAGGAAGCTCCAGAACTTCTGGTCATGATAAGGAGGTAATTTGTTACCAAAAAATTAAGTCTCAAATTAATGGCTCAACAAACTTGGCAGAGGCTTTTGAACCAAACCTTCCTGCCTGCCTTGAGTAGCTCAGTAACTGCCTCCTAGCTCTGAGGCGAGAGGAGAAATTAGTCTTCACCAGTCCAGGGAGCTGCACAAAGCCATGGGTACAGACCAGTCATATAGGAGACAGTTTGATAATGAACCGACTACAGAGTTATCCAACCCGGTATACAGGAAACTTTGTATTTACAGATAAGGGGAAAGTAACACTTAGAGCTCCCCCCCCCTCCCCCCCGCGCCCTTCCCCCCCCCTTCTCTCTTT